CACACACAACATACATGCACGCAAACCAGCACTCAAACACACACAAACACAAACACAAACACAAACACACGCGCGCGCACGCGCGCGCGCACATACAAACACATACACACAGACCGACACACACACGTTACCACTCTCACAACCTCACTCAGTCGCACCTTTTCACACTCATCGAGAAATGGAAAACGGAAAAGCGCAGTGAGGTATTGAAGTATAGAATAGCAAGGTAGCCAGCATTTTAGGGAAAGAGATGGGTTTGTTGTTTGTTTGTTGTTGTTGTTGTTTTTTTTTGGGGGGGGTGGGTGTGAGGTGGTGGGGAAGAGTAGAAGAGTTGGTCGCGGAACCAGAGAAAGTAGTTTATTCGCCAACGAACATTCATCCGGCTCTATGAAGGCTTGTTATGACTGCCAAACAGGCGTTTTCCACGCACGTCATTTCTCTGCCTTGAAAGCGAAACCCTTCCTGAAGCCAAAAGATCAAAGACGAGAACCATTTACTTAACAAAAAAGAAAAACTCACGATCGGCCAACAGGTCTGTGCAATCATGCATATCGAATGAGCGCCGTGAAAAATTGAACTGTAGGTGCTTTTGGGTTACAGTGCTACATTCGCATTCTTTAGATCGGGCCCTGATGTCTGACAACCCGGAACGATTCACAACGTGGTGGAATCAGGCGCTCGTCAATTTTGAGGAATGTGGAGTTATTGGTGTCATCTTAAAGTTTTTTTCATTTCTTGCTTTCGAAGAAAAATAAAATACCCATCTATCTTAAATGAAAGTCGAGATATTGAAGGGGGTGGAGGGTCGCCTGGTGTCAGAGGTAAAATTAGCGGGACAATGGCCGCCATAATAATAGGCCTACGGTGACTTCTAAAGCTTGAGAGTCCTTGGACACTGCAAATGTACCTAATTTTTTTGTGCCTTTGATCAAGGTCTTTCTGTTTAAAATCCACACAGTGTTTTTAAATGGACATGAAAAGTGTTGAGCCAAGAAACAAAAAATCAATGTAAAAATTGCCGAAATGCCGGTTTCTTCGATTTCATTCTTTTGACGAGCACCTGATTTCACCACAATGCTGTACATTAATTCATTCAATGACGCTCACGTTTCTGAATGCCGTCCAAAGTGACCCAAGCGTAACACGAGGTGAAACCCAGCTACGGATCAACTGATTTACAGTTTTTACTGATTTCCCACAACCGAGTGCTTCGATCAACGCCGTATTTATTCATTTATTGTCCGCCAGTTTACTTTGTTCACAAATTCGCACTGTCGGTAGAAATAGGAGTGCTACACACACCCCAAAGTACATATTAAATAATAGCTCTGGAGGTGCTTTTCGTTCGCCCTACATCTGGGAAACCTCAGACTACACTCAAAGAAAATTACTATTAATAGAAAATGAAGGAATATTCCTTCAACTTTATCGCGTTGTAGGCTGGCATTGTAAAATTACATATGTTTTGAACGATGAACGGGGGGGGGGTTGTTTGTTTTTATGTTTTTTTGTTTTTGTTGTTTGTTTGTTGTTGTTGTTGTTGTTGTTGTTGTTGTTGATGTTGTTGTGGTTGTTGTTGCGCTGTTCTTAAAGATAGCCTACATGAAAAAAAAAAGATTTCAGGTCTCTAGACTTTCATCATCATCATTGCCTTTCTCACCCTGCACCAGGTTATAGGCCACGGACAAACACCTTCCACCTTTCTCTTTCCAGGGCTGATCTCTTGATGTTATTCCATGTCTTCCCACTTTTCTGTACATCAATTTCTGTGATTCTTCTCCAGGTTCCACGCAGTCTTCACCTTGATCTTTTACCCTGTTGTCGATGACCCCATGGGGCTGGTTGTAAAAGGCATCCTTGTCTTCATTAGAAGCATCATTTGTTGGGGCGTAGATCTGGGCTATAGATCTATTCATGTTGATACTGTGTGGTTCCCATCCTCTAAGTGACGTCTGTGCATACTTACTCAAAATGATTCCTACTCCTTACGCATGGTGCTTGTTATTCCTCCCAGAATACAATATTAGTTGATTCCCAGTAATTGCAGCCTGTATCGCTTCCTCTCTTGTACTACTTGAGAACTCTTTCCTGCTTCATACAAGGTGCAAACATTCCACAATGCAATTCGGAGAGACTTGTTCGACTGAAGTTTCGGGCATAGATTTACACTACTAGGTACTAGATACAGTACGCCCCTCTCTCGCCTTGCTGCGCTATGGCTATATTGGACTGCGGCGTCCGCCATGTTCTTTTTGTCCAGCTGTGTGAAGGAGTTCATGCTAAAGCAATGGGCTAGGCATGTTTTCTCTCTCATACGCAATAGGCGAGGCTTGGCCCTTGTTGATATTTTTTTTACATGGGCGTCACGGCATAGGCTGCTATAAAAATATCTAGATCACTAGAAAGGAATAATAAAGCGTACTTTCTACAAATAGATCTAGATCTACAAATTATAGATGTATTATTAAATAGATAGAGATAGATAGGCTTTAAAACAAACAAACAAAAATAACAACAAAACAACGTTATTTCTTCTTGAGCACTTTATCTACGACGAGATGGTTTATTTCTTATTGACTGACTCAAAGCGTATTTAGGGTCTACAGAACTTTTAAGAAGAAGTATGAAAAGATGTGGGTGTCATGGAAACATCCCTACCACCCCACCCTCTCTTCCCT